ACCGCTCCGAAGAAACGTTAGCACGCGTCATATTTGAAAATTTAACCCGTTCAAACACAATTTTCTCGAAAACTTCTTTTTTAACGCATGCTAACCTGCGTTAGGGTATCAAAATTATTTCATGGGCGACACTTACACTTTCAATCTGCAACTTTTATTTTAACGTGTTAATGATTGAATGAAAAGAGAGAGAAATATACATACTGTATATCAAATTATTTTTTGCAAAAAAACTTATTCTATTCTATTCTTAACCTATGACTACTTTTTGAAGTAACAATTTTAACAACTCTTTGTGCGATGAGATGTTCAACGTAAACACTTAAATAAATAAAATATAAAAATGACAGACAAACATTCATCTGTCTAATTCAGCATATAGTGTTTCTCTACTTTAACTATTTTGACTGTCATATGTTTCCTGTTTTCATAATATAGTCGAAGTTGGTGTAGTTTTGCTAACTTGTTGTAGGAACAACAACGAGGACACATATTAAGATGTCCGTATTACGTTTCGTGATATGAGTAATTTTTTATGCTAATCACGAATTTGGTGCTTGCTTTGTTGCCAGATGTTTCCGGTACCGATCTTTGAAACTCAAATCTTTAGAGACTCATTCTAAAGTTCTGACTGAACAGATGTTAACACGTCCGAATTTACAGAAGAAAGTGAACTATCTATGCAAAGATTGCAAATCTAACTCCAGAGCTGAACTTGCTTTTGATGGAGTTCGAGCTGACCTTAGATTTTTTCAACCCTAACTTCACAACTCCAGTTCAAAACTTAACACAACTTCAACATCAATGGTTTTCTTTTTTGACCTCTTCTATGTAAAACGACAACAAGTACGTTTTCGAGATTAATTAGTTGAAATGCAATGATGAATTGATAGAATAATTTATTTTTGTACGCACTCTTGTAAACAATAACGAAATAAACAACTGATAACATAATAAAGGAGAAAGAGAACAAAAGAAGACGACAAAAAGTGCTTATGGGAGTTGAAACGGGGTTGAAGTTTTTTCTAGGTTGAAGTACACAATTAGCTTGAATAGATAAAATAACATCTTGACATTCCGAAATAGTTTTTAATTGGTATTGACTGAGTTATGAAGTTTTGATTTCCGGTGCAGGTACTCAAAAATGTTTTTGTACTTGAGGTAAGTTTCACTTAGTTGTTGATATTTTTTCCCAATAAAAAACAATATCACGGACTCACGAGGGAACCGCCCCAGGTGCCCAACTCCGATTTCCTTCATTCATATCTCGTTTTATAGAGCACATCGAGCTGGTAAAAAGCCTAAAAGGATTTTTGCCCATGGCTCTTGCAGTCTCGATTTTCTGCAAAACCAGTTTTTGAGACATTCTAAAAAATAATCAAAACCTTTCATAATGAAGCATAATTAAAGCCCGCACATTTCTGATTAAAATGAGACGTCTCCCAGCTCTACATGACCTTTCTTTGCAAAGTTATAGAATTTACAAGAAAAGCCCTAAATGTTCATTGTCAGCTCAAAGCTGTAGAAATAAGAAGAAATTAATTTAGGACTTTTCTTGTACTTTGACGGTTCCCTCGTCAGCGTGGACAATAAACATACAGATCCCAGAGGCTAAAACAAGTCAATTTTTTTTGTTTTGGGTTCCGTTCGAATCTGTTCCATAAGTCCAGCGACTCGACCAGGTGCAGTTTTATAAATTGTCAAAAGCGATCTTTTCTAGGAACATAAGCAACCCGTGGCAGTCTTCTATCAGTAACAGAGGAGCACTCGGAACGCGAAAGATAGAACAAACAATCAATCACAAACGTTTTTCGAGATCGCTAACACCGAGCTTTGTCCCTCTATATTTATGTGCAACAAAAATGAGATTAAGTTTTCCTTTCCAAAACTCCAGTTTATTTTTGAAAAATCCATTCATCCATCCACACAGCAATCCAATTCAATCTTTTAAATTAAGAAGTTTATATAAGCCGACAAAGCTTAAGTAACTAGAATAAAATTTTAGTGGAAGAAATATGTCACAGATGAACTGAATTTACACGATGTTTTTCGAAAAAAATCGTATCATACCGCAAAATACCAGCAATATCAGCCGACTGATTATACATACTAATACCGATATACCGGTCGGCGTTATAATTCGTACCGGTACCGGTATACCGATCGATAAACCGATACTGGTTGCACCTCTGACTGCGATTATTAGTGAGTACTTCGAGCTATCTATCCATGTTATAACACAAACAATCGAACAGGCTATTAAAGACCGTCTCAAAGCTCTACCTTCTGAAAAATATTTTTAAACATTGGATTTGCTGGTAATATGTATCTAAGGTCTTTATACGAAAAAAATTATATAACAAGTATTAGCAAGAGGTCTTGGAAACAAAATTGGGAAGAGTAAGATTAGTTACGTACAAAATAAATCATAATCGAAATCGATGTTTTTCTCATTATTTTTTTTAAAAGGAAGAATGAAAAAGTTATTCTTAATTAAATATCTTCTACCCTCCCCCCTCCTATTATGGGGGAGGGGGGGAAGAAAGTAGTTGCTATTAATTCTTTGTCAGGTTTGTACAAACTTACTAGTTCGTCATCCGTCGCTCATCTTCCTGTATTACTTTTGTTATTGCTTTCTTCGTGAGTGGACTGTGTGGATGAACCGACGAGGCACTTATCTGTTTATAAATCGATTTTCCGTTTGACTGGTGATTATTCGTTTGAAATGATATATCGTCCATTTCATTCGGTTTTATGTTACATGTTCTCGCTGATTCCGAACATTCGGATGTAATTGGTAATTTTCCAAAAAATTGGCGTATTGTATTACTTGCACGACGACTCAACATTTTTAATTTATTCACATCCAGAAAATCACTCTCTTCCGGTATGATAGAAATGTTTGACTGTCGTTCATTATCATCTCGATGTTGTTTATGTATGGGTAATGCTAGAAATTGTTTGTCGACGGTTGAAAGTCGTCTAGTATTATGAGCACTACTGTAGTACTCACGTTCACCCGCACACTCATCTTCAATCTCGAAGTATGAATCATTGTCGTCTCGCAGCATTGTTCCAGGATTATTACAACAATATTCTTGATCACTTGTTGTATGTTTATCATTGATAAGAATAATTGTTTTCTCACTTGATCGACGTTGAAATAAATTATCTTTGTTTTTTATTTCTTTTGTTGTCGGTTTATCAATAGTCATCTGATTTTGTGTCGAGATTGGTGGATCACTTTTTATTTTATTTGTCATTTTTCTTGTTCTTTGCCAAATATTCCACATAATAAGTATATTGAGAATAAATAAAACAATAAATGGCCAAATAAAATAGTTGAATTGAGCAAATAACATGTAAATAAAACTATAATTATAATCACCCAAACATTCGCTTGTCACTGTAGAACCATTGAGTGGACGATAATCTGATGTTATGACACTTATTAACCAAATACCAGGAGCAAAATTAACTAAAACAAAAATAATATTACACATGTTATAATGGAAAAACTATTTATTACTGAAAAAAAAACACCTAAAGAAAGGAATGTTTTTGCATAGGCAATATACGAACCAAATGAAATCATCCAAACACTACACATAACCAAATAGACTAGTTGTTGAGTGGCATATTTTCGATAACTAATCGGATATGCTATTGACCAATAACCTATTTCACATAGAATGTACAATTTATTTTACTAATATGTAAAATATCGATGGGTTAAACGACTCACGATTAACAGATATCGCAACTATATTAATTACACTGGCCATAGTAGCTACATCGTCTACAGTCACCCAAATTTTACAAAATAAGTGTCCAAATGGCCATACTCGAGACAAACTAGATAAATATAAGAAATAACATTATTTTAGATCTGATTAGTTATTGATTAGAAAAATAACAATGATCTATACCTAAATGGAATATAGAATGGAATGCAGAAACATCCTACAAGAAAATCGGCAATTGACATATTCAATATAAAATAATCTAAATAGAAAAAATATGGAATGTCATTGATGTCAAAGAAACAGTAAGTAATGGATGTGCATACTGAGAAGTTTTATGGGATACCAACCACACTAGACACGAGTTTTTCTTATTTCAAAAAGAAGGTCATAAGATTTTACCGAAGAACATCTTTTATAAAATATTTTAAAACATCGACACAGTGGTGAAATTAATGGAACTATTATCGTTGTATCACGAAACGAAGGCTCAGTAACATACACTTTTCTTCATAGACAACGAACATTGCTAAGAGCGTGTGGTTTTATCAAATATTTTATTGAAATTAGACCTTTTCGTTCTCGAGTAATTATTGCTCGGAGCCTTCCGTATCTTTCAGAAGTCTTTCTCCGCTTTCCAGCAAAGGACAACTTAAGTGTATACAAACATAGCCATCGAAATCTCATATTCGTTGAATCCGCAATTCAACGTTTTCAATGAAGTTTTTTTGTAGACAATAACTTATTTTTTGACATCGGTGAGACTCATGAATTGTTCGAGATTATATTTTACTGATCAAACCGGTATTTCGCTCAAATTTCATTATTCTTGAGAAGTCATGGACAGGGGTTTGCGATGAATATGCTTGTTAAACACTTAAGTTGTCCTGATTACGAATGAAACGTTTATTTTGAAACTTGATTTGCTGAAAAGCGAAGAAAGACTTCGGAAAGATACGCGAGTCTCTGAACAATAATTTTTCCAAAACAAAAAGGTCCGATTTGCAAATTTCTAACTAGACATATTTCTACGCAGAAATGCCAGTAAGAACGTTAGCGGATGTAGAAGTTATTAATCGGCCTGTCCAGGCGTTACGAACTTACGCTTTTTTTTAGTCCGTAGCAATTTTTTCTGTAACGGAAGATGCTGTGAGGACCGTTCTTGTGCCAGCTGATAGAGCTCGGTGAGTTCTATTTGCAGCCAACATATTGTGGGTTTCAGCCAAGTGACACGGTTTTTATACAAATAATATTGAGCGTTATGGACTTACAAAAAAATAGAAGTGAATGTAGAGCAGAGCAAAAACAGATAATAAGTTTAGCGAATAATGAGGTTCTTTTAAAAAACCTTTTCGTAGCAAATGTAGCTGAGAATTAAGCCTATATAAAGTAAAAAAAGATTTGTCTCAAAAGTGTTTAGTCTGGCAGATACATTAAAAACAAAAACGTTACGGACTTACGTTTCGTTATGGACTTACCGCTTTTTTTTATTCTTTCAAATCAGAAGGTTAAACTCCAATACAAAAGTCGTCATAGAAAAATATTTCCGATAGCAGTAGACAGTATCTGATCTGATCTTTCCGATGCACCGTAGAAAAACGTTTTGAAATCGTTTTGACTTGGAGGAAAACCCGTTTTAAAACTTGATCTTTCGTAAAAACCAACTTTCTTGGACAGCACATAAACTCAAAAATAAATACACCATCTTGTAGAGAATTTAATTCTCTACAAGAAAATGCCATATCTCTTAATTTTTTTCGCGAAAATATCTAGGTCAGAAAATTAAAAATAAAATATGGATTTCATTTTTTAGGTCAAAATTTATTTTTTTGGAAATTTTAAGTTGATATTCGAAATCAGCTTCAAAAACTACGTTAGACAATGTGCTTCACAAATTCTTAAAGTTAAAAAAAAATTTTCGAACCATCTTAAGTGAAGGTGACCGTTAGCTGGACAGGCCGTAATCCTAAGCGCTCAGAATTAGCCGAAATCGCCTACGAATATTAGGTTTTTACTTATCTAAGATAAAGATCTTAATAGATTAAATAGATCCATGATCTGAAGAAGGTGAATTAGACGGGGTTGCATAAAACATTCACTAGAAACGTTTCTATAATCATCTCGAGCATCTATTGCATAATGTAACGTGGATGAACTTCTTAAAACAATGCACATTGTTCATTAGAAAAAATACTTTTTTCTTTTAGTCAACGTCATCAGTGGATGTTTGTTCGGATGTCTTACATATTCATCAATTGTCAGTGAAACTATACTTTTTACTTTAATTTCAATAACTACTAATGTTAAGTTCATCTCAGAATTTTTCTTTGTGTGTGTGTGTGTGTATATGCTTACCGTTGATCGTTCGTAATTTTTTATCAAAATAAAATGCTAATACAACAATGATATTTCCGACAGATGTAATCAATGCAATTAAACTTAAACAAATACCTAATAGCACCGTTAATAAAATAGATGACGATATCGAAGACGTTGTCTTGATGGTAGTTGAATAATGATTATTTGAAATTAAAAATAAAATAGTATCATTCGATTGACTACTTCTGTTATTGTTATTATTGAATAAATAACCAGTTTGTAGTACAATCGTTGTAAAGAGAATATGTTCTTGTTTTATCGTTGAACAATTATTGCATAGAGTTGTTGTTAATGCATAATTCATATTTAGAGATTAAATTTAACTTAACATTCGAGGGATTTCTGTTTTTTCTACTCGTCGTTGTTACTACTATTTTTAATAATATTGTTCTACTACTTCCTGTTAAAAGAAGAAAAAAAAATGAGGAAAAGCCATGATCAATCGAGATCTTCTTCGTTCTTCTACCTTTAGATATATACAAAGAAAGAGAAGTAAGGAGAAAAGAAATAAGCTAATTACACATACATAAAGGATAATAGCGATTTTCATATTTAAAAGAAACATAAATGATTATTAATTGTGTGTACACTATTGTTGAAAGAACAATATGTTGGCAGAATATAGACGACAATGCGACTACATTTTTGCTCTCTTGTCAAAAAAAATGTAATAACAAAGATATGTATATGTGTAAGCGTGAGTCTGTATTTTTGATTGACGATAAAATTAATCAATAGTTGGCACCTGT